AGATGTATTGGGCCAGTGTGTGAAGAATTTTAGGAGGGCAAGACACCAAACCAAATTTGCTGGGATTATTTACAGAGATGTTTAACTCCAGTGGGCTGTTTTATTCTGCTTTAACTTGAAGCTATTAAAAAACTCTTCTATCCTTTATAAAGAAGCTGGAAATAAAAGGGATTGTAAAAGGGACTTAGGTTAAAGGAAGATTGTTCTCCTGATATTTGCTGTGTATGTATCCTTAGAAACATTAGATTTTTGCTATCCAGAAGTGAGTGATTAGACTTTTCTCTGCAATTACAATGGAGAAAGTACAGTATGGCACAGCAGCTCAGTACTCCTCATAAATACAGACTTGGACAGTGATGGCCCCTCTGTCCTTGTCACAGTGAGTGCAGGTGACAGGTTGGGTGCAAGTTGGAGAGCTGCCCCATGAGGATGAAATAGGTTCTCCCTGAAGTGAGCAGATGTTCTTGCTGCTAGCCTTTGTACATTCATACTCTAAAATTCTCTTCAGAAGTGTTTGCTTTTCTCCCATTGCTGTTAATGTAGGGAACAGTGGGGGTGTGGGTGAGAGCAGTTTCTGGGTTGGAGGTGCATTTTCAGGAACACTGAGAAAGTTCTTACAAGGTGAGCCTGTTCCTCCTCTGGCTGTTTATGCCAATCTCTCCTCCAGTATTTACTCTAACATTTGTAAAAACAGATAAGTCTTCTGGAGAGCAAAGCCTGCTGAACTGGGGACAGGGAAAACCTGAATAAACAAACATGTGCCACAGATTAGTAAGAACATCTGTAGGTTTTATATTGTTTTGAGAACACATACCACAGTTTTTCATTTCTTACGCTTTTTTAGTTTCTCCCTTTCTTTCTGTATCTGTCTTTTCTTCTTCTTTTTAAATATATTGGTAATAAAGGTTGGAGGTAGAAAGCACAGCTGGACTCTGCATGACATGCCACTGTTTAATTTCTAGCTCGGAGGATGAGAAGAAGAGTAGTTTTATTGTATCCTAGAAGAGAATAAAGCCACATGCAAATTCCAGCCATGGACATCTGTTTCCTCTTTGTGTGAAAGAATTCTCATATTTGGAAGGGAATCCCAGTTCTGAAGGGGCTGATGAGGTTTTGGGTTTTTTCTTTTGGTTCTTTCCCCCGTTCTTTGCCACTTCTTCAGCTTGCTGCCCTAGCTCTGGCTGCTGTTTTCCTCAGGACAATGTCGGCTTGCAGTTTACCATCAGATATCAAATGGGTCCATTTTGAGGTACTTTAAAATGTGTTGTAGTTACAAAAAGCATTATTAAGTTCCTCCTTAAATTTCTTTTATTAAATTAAACAGTATTTGGTGGGAGGACTTTTGCTCTGTCATCAATCTTCAGTGCTTACAGGTCGGTATTTTTCTTTAGAAGCAAGATGTTTGTTTTGTATCTGCTGCTCTGGTGGGGAAGTGCAGCTATTTCTAAAAGTAACTTTTTAAACTTGTAATAATTTAAAATACTTTGTATCAGGGGAATTAAGTAGATGTGTAGAAATAAGCATCTGCAAAGTTCATTACCTTAAGTTAGGCATCAGGTGCTAAGGACTACAGGGACCAGAGTAAATGATAATTTCACTAACCATAAAACATTTTAGAATAATTATTTGCAGCTGTCTGGGGGCTTTAAATTTGCCTTTTGTGTGTGTTTAAGGGTTGACTCTGATGAACAAACAGCATAGTTATATAACATTAGGCCAGACATGAGAACTGGTACTCTCTGTCTATTTTATATTAATGTCGAATGAGGGGTTGGTGGAGCTTGCCAGGGTTTCATATTTGCTGGCAGCAAGTTACCCACATGTGTGGACCACATTTTTATTGTTGCCTCAGCCTATTTCAGGCAGAAATATCTCTGCCTAACAGGGTGTGATTCTGTTCATTGCTGAAGAGCTTTTCTTTCAAGAAACAAAATACGAAAAGGAATTAAATGCTGTAAGTGTTCAAATTAAGAAGTGTCCCCAAATTGCAAAATTTTGTCACGTCTGCCATGGTGGAAGAATAAAGGGCAAGAAGCCATCTAAAGGCTTTTTCACGGTCAGATGAGCTATCCTCACAGAGCTATTTCTTTTTGCATGTATTAATGCTACTTTTGGGTGTGGGCTGTTTAGTCTGGTCTCGTAGGGAGACAAGGCTTATGCAAGCAGGGTGTTTGCACACATGGACACACAGCAGCCTGCACAGCCCTTCCACAGCTTGACCAGGGAAATGCACAAAGATTAACAGGAGTTCTGATAACCTCCTTGAGAGAATACGTGTGTGAGGGGAGGATAAAGGTGATGAAGGGGTTTGAGGGAAAGCTTTCAGTAGGAGCTGAACTTTCAGCAAGGGGCGTGGAATAGATCTCGAGAAGAAATGTGATGGAGGTCCCTGTCACGGGAAGATTGCCGAAGGCAGCTTGGAAATGATTTGGCTTCAGGGAATCTGATGACAAAACCCAAATCCGCAGGAAGGCAGACTCCCTTTCATTCCAATACTCATGGAATTGCTCGTGTGGGTTTTGTTTTTAAGTCAGGATGTCAGACAGGATCCAGTGGGTGACTGCAATAAACGTAGGGCATCACCTTAGGATCTTTTTAGTGCAGCAAAGATGCTGCTCTGCTTGGTGGTGCTGGTGCTTCCTATTTTGTTTGGGTTTTGCAAGTTTTTAAACCCTAGTAAAGCGTGACCTATGGATGTTCAGACCCTTATCCTAGAGGAGGGAGCCCAGTGGCTGTGCAGGTCCCCCTGACACACTTCCAGAATCTTCCTGGGCTGCATCCCATGGGGCACGTGGGGAAAAGGGGGAAACCCAAAATCCCCACACAGCCCAGGCTGCCCCTGAGCAGGACACAGAAAGCAAACGCCACTAACACTGAAAATCAAGCAGCACTTGTGAACAAGTTTCCCCTTTGATTGAAATGCTTCTAGCTAGGCGATATAAAGGGGATTATGTCACAAGCTTCCCTTGTTGTCTTATTAACAGCTGCTTAATTTTACCACTCATTCACGAGCATAAAAAAGCAAAACTTGGAGGCTGTGTTTGAAAGCTTGTTTTGTTTGGTGTACAGCTGGATACAGAGCGTTTCCTTTATTCTTTTTTAATAAATTTGAAGCAAATGTATTGGTTATTGTTACTTATTTTTCCCTATTTTTTGGCCTAGATAACAGAAGATTATGTTGCTTTTCATTTTACATTGCAAAGAAATCATTTGATATAATTTCAGTTCAACAATGCTGCAGTAGCATGTGGGGGTGTATATATATCTTCTTATAAATATATTACCACACATTATTGTCAAAGAGTTGGGCTTTTTCACCCAGTATTAAAAATAAAATTTAATTGCTACACCAGAGCTTCAAGACCCTGATAAATAAGAGCCATGTCTGACCTTTATTGTGGAGCTCTGAGATGCCACCAGGGATACTGCTCATTGTCCAAGATGACAAACTTCCTCTGAGATTTCAGTTTGTCAGCTCAATGTACAGCAGTGACATTGATTTCTTCTCACAGCCATTTCCTGCCTGAATAGATAACAAATTTTCTGTGGCAGGTGTCTGTCAAGTTTAGTTTTGCCTGGCAGATTAACTTAATAGACTCATTTATTAATCATTACTTGCAGCACAGAGAAGCAGACAATACTGTTTGACTCCTGTGATGTTGAATGCATGTTCCAGTCCAGATTCCTTTGTGTAGCTAGAATTTGGGTTTAATAAGCCATTCATATCTCTAGTGAACATTTAGTGAACGTTTTTAGTCACTCAGAGCAAAGATATCTGCATTAAATAGGCATGATCCATTTTGAGTATCTACTCCTTTCCACGGTAAAAGATGTGTAAGTGCTTTTGCAGACTAAATAATTTGATATATGAACTGCCAAATCAGCCTAAACAAGGGGGGGGAAATTCAGAAAGATAAAAGTAGAAAAAAATAGGTAGTTGGAGGAAGATTTGAGCCTGGGGTTGACTGGCTAACAAAGTAGAGAAGATAATGCAGCTTTAGGAAGGGGCAAAGCAGACCTGCAGATCCAGCTGTAGGGTGATCCTGGGACAGGCCAGTGCTTTCCTGACCCTTTCTCTGAGGGGTCTTGAGACAGATAATGAGCCTGGAGATAGCAAAGGCAGAGTTGGTACCAGAGGTAGGTGTTAGGGCTTCTCTGAGTGGGGAAGGACAAGGAAGAATTTAGTGGAGGGCTTTGCAGAGGAAGAAATATAATAGAAGGCATAACCTTGGCAAGTGATGTGTCTTGTTGCAAAGTGTTTCAGTGTGTTCACAATGAAAACTGACTGATGAGCTGGGGTTTTTATCAGGGCAAAGTCTGTGAAGGACATGGAGATACAGAGGCAGTGCTGGGACAGGTGGCAGCAGGAATGAGCCCAGACAGAGATTCAGGCTGTGGCTGCACAGGAGAACCCCCCGTGTTCCAGGCAGCAAGGAGAGAACCACCAAGCTTCTCCCTTCTAGCTGGCTTGTGGTGGCTCCTCACAACCTGCTTTTAATTCTCCAGGGAGCTGGCTCATGGCTGATCATGGGACATGTTCAGGAACTCTTTTGCAGCTGATGCCCAACTGCAGAGCCCAGGTTGCAGCACTACAGCTCAGCATCTGTGAGAGTCTGCACTGCTGAAGGTGTGCTTTGCCAAGATGTGTTCCTGGCCTTGGGAACGTGTTTCTTGAGCCATCCTTATGGCTTTCTTGGCTGACTGTCAAACCAAGAATGTCTCTGCACTAGATCACACTGCTTATTGCTCTTCTAGGCCACCCTGGTAACAATACATTAACCTCTCAGCAGGGAATGTGATAAACAAAGTAAAACTGCTTTAGTGAAACCAGTCATTTAATGGCAGCATACATAAAGTGTCCGTAAAGATTTGTAAGTGTAATAAGCTGCAGTTCACTGAGAGAACAATAACTGTTCCTAATTTAGCCAGTTGAGGAACATGCTAACCCAATTTACTTTTGTAACATTATGTTGTTCTTTTTTCTTTTCCCACCTCTCCAGATTCCTTTCTCTCTGGTACAGTTTCCCCTCTGGGAGTCCTTAAAGGTAAGTTCTCCTTAGTGATGAAAATATAAGTTATACATTTTGCAAAGGATTTCCATGGTAACTTATCTAACTCCATTATTGCAATTATGGGTAGGTTCAAGAATCAGTAATTATGTGCCAACTTACCTGTGCATGTGAAGATCATATGCCTGAATATCTGAAAAATAACAGGGAATATCTAACCACTGATCTGTGGCATGCAGGCTAGTTTTTACTCCCAGCATGCCAGAAATTTTATCTGCAGCTCTAACTTTTTTTTACTGCTTAAAAAGAGTGGGAACCATCTTATGTTGTGTGATTTCTTTCTTTTTTTTTAAATTTTATTTTAAGTTTTTAGTGTTTTTCTCTCCATGGTAAAAGGGAATTGCAAATGAGAAAACTGTTTCAGCCTGGATTTTGTAAACATCACTGAAAAGATATTTTGATTGACTACATGTACTTTATTTTTAGGTCATCTAAAGAAGGTGTCAATGGATGATATTTTAACAGTGCAGTTGTTTGGCATGACATGCTGTTCTCCTACCAGCTGGTTGCTCTGTTTACCATGGTCAGAGCCAGGATCTAGATTTTTGAGTGGAGGGTTGGGTTTGAAGGTGTAATTTCTCCATCCCTCTGTATTTCCTTGAACTCACTGTGAAAGATGAAAGGAAGGGTTTTTCAAGTACTTGGAGGTCATAGGGTGGAAGCACAGAGAATTATTGCAGATCATTAAAAGCATTGTAGCAAAACATATTAATAAAAGAGGAGCTGGTGAGAGAAACTTTCTTCTTGGTAGGAGTGCTGGACTTCTGAGCAAGCTCAGCACAGAGACCCAAACTGGGTCCTTGTGTGTTGGATTGGGACAGCAGTTTGTCCCCTCGCTGGGTGTCTATAGCTGGGGCTGTTTGAGGGGACAGATATTCACAGTGTGAATATTTGCATGCAGAGGCTTCAGGGAGTTTGATTTAAAGGTGAATCCACGGGCAGGAGGAGCATGAAAATCATCAAGAGCTTTTGCAGATCTGAGCTGTGTTGGTGGGAGATTCTGTAGGTACTTGATGAGCTCAGCCTGCTGTGGGGTCTGGGTATCATCCCACTGCACAGGGGAGCTTGGGCTGCCTTATTAGGAATCTGTTTCCCTGCCAGTGTGCAGGAATGGCTTTCTGTAAACTCTTCAGCAGTGGTACTGGCCCAACCTGCTAATGGTTAGTGCAGCAGCCGTGTTTGGGAGCAAGAGGTGGCAATGCTTAAAGGGAAAAAGTGTGGTGTTCGTGCCAAAACCACATAAACCAGCAACATTGTGTAGCTGTTTGCAGAATGTAAAGTTGTTTTAACTAATGTCCACGTAGCTGTGAGAGTAAAATGTATTGTTTACATTACAGGCTTTAAAGAAGACAGTTTGAATTTAGCTAACTACAGGAGTGAGTCATTCAGGATGAGGCATCATGTTTAATCTAAAGAGGTCAGTGCAGATCTGAAGAGAAACAAAACTCGTGTCAGTTTGTTCCACAAACCTGTTACATTATATTCTTCCGATGTGGAGTCGGGAGTAGAAAACTGCAAAAAATCAGTCTGGCATACTCAGTGACTTTGGCTCAGCACAGGGAGAGAGCTCAGGGCTTGTCATATCAAAGCCAGGCAGTGAAAGCAGAATACATTTTGTTTATCTAAGGGAAGCTCTTAAAAAATTGTCCTGACAGTATAACAAAGGACAAAAATCATTATGGTCCCATCAAGAGGATGGATGTAGCCAGTAGCATCACTGGGAGTATGACTGAGAGTGTAGGGCTCCTCATGGTGCATGAAGGGAGCATGAACAGACAGTAATTGCAAAGAAATAGAAATTCAAAGGACAAGAAAAAAATGGCACAAAGCCTGGACAGAAAAGAATTATTGAGATGATGCCTGAGGGACTATTCTGCACTGTATTAATAGGATTACTTGAGAAAGTAACTGTGGGAGCAGTTGTGTATGATGTGTGTGGGCCATCTCACTGAGGAGAACAGAACAAGTGCTGTGGCTGTGTCATTTTTAAAACCATTAGTACAAAGTTACATAAGCTGATGGAAGATAGACTCAGTCTTATGATTCCCTGAACAAGCTAATCACCATAAAAAAGAGGAAAACCATTCCACTGTGAAAGGATAGTTAGAGAGGCACGTGGAAGAAGAAGAGAATTTCCTTTTCCTTCAGATATGTGCTGACTGCAGCCAGCAGCAGGGTGCTAAGCTTGAAGAAGCCTAATAAAGGCTTGTCTTAGATGGGAAATGGTGTGTTTCTATATCCCATTTTTTCTATCTGCTTTACTCCAAGCTGCTCTGGTTATTCCTTATGCTTTAGTCCCAGAGTTTACATGCAGTTTTCTCCTGTCTGTGAATATGCACCAGCTGTCCCCTGTGAGAGCAAGCTTGCATGCCCTGCACTGAGCTATGTTAAAAGAAGGGAGAAGATTGTATAAATTACTGAACTATAAGGTTACATTGGCTGTGGGTGCTGGCAAAGGGAGGATTGCAGTGATTAGCAAGAAACAGATCCTGCTTCAAATACAGGTCTTACTGATAGTGACTCAGGTGAACACACAATTTAGGAACAGGTAATAGACTCCTTTCTTAGGTCACAATGACTCAAGAAACAATAGTAAAGAAATAACGGTGCTTTTAGTTTAAGAAAAGTATTTTTTAAAATTTAAAATCCACTGCTATAAGGTGTGCTCAATGTCCTTTCTCTTCCCAGTTCTCCATTTTCCCATATTTTGTTTGAGGCACAGATTATTGCTATAAACCAAAAGAGAGAAGGAAACTGCTATGGTGTATCAGATTTCAGGACCTTGTAATTCCCACCTAGGGTGAGTTAGTGTAGCTCTTTCCTGTCTCTTTAGTCCAAGCCTTACAAGTAAAACAGTTTTGAATTCTTCTCAGAGTTCAGGGAAAGAAAGGATGTTACAAGTCTTATTCGCTTTCTGCTACACCAACCCTCAGAAGAGCACCATGATTGAATATTGCTGGGACAGTTTGATCAGGTTTAGGTTCTTTTATGTGGAGTTAATCTCAAAGCCAGGTGTCCCTGAAGAAAGGCAACAGAGCACAGATGTGGTCTGCTTCCCAAGTACCAGCCAAGCACAGAGCCTTCCATATTAGTTCAGGTTTTGGAATTAATGTTGTAAGATGCAGTCCTCTTGTATGCTGCCCTGGAATTTCCAGAGTGCCTCAGTAAGTTGCTTTGGAAACACTATATGTGTATTCCTTGCTGTGGGAATTTCACATGGTGGGCTCTGTATTTGGCATGAAATTGTTGTGGGTTACACAGAGCCTGGTGCAGCTCCTGTGCTCACCCTGCTGCCAGGGCTGTGCAGTCTCTTCTCAGATGTCTGTGGCCCTGTGGATTCCATCCCTTCTGTCTTATCTTTCTTCTGTTCAGACATTTTATTCAGGGCTTAAAATCATCATATCCGAGTTCCTACCAGCAGCACATAAGCGGTTTATCATTTGTTTCCTGTTTTAATCCTTCTTTTTTAGAACTAACTGAGAAAAAAGACAATTTTCATTTCTGCTGCGGGGAGGGGGTATCACAGAAATACAGGGCATCAAGTGTTTGGGTTTTTTCAATAAAATAGCATTTTTAAAACCGTACAGAAAATCAAGAGCCTCTGCTTAGGTTTGAGTCCAGAAACATCTTGTCAAAAATGCCTGTTTCTTAAAGCTCAGTGGAAATGGTCAGATCCCTCAGAGAACAGTGCTGTGTGTAAGATAAACCCTTCTCAGGTGAAACAAGACTCAGTCCTCTTGGGTTTTATATTTCTGCATGTTGGCTGCGCTTCAGACCCTCTGAGAGTTACTCAAATGCAGCTGTACAAGGAGAATGGTCTCTTTATAGACCAAAGGTATTGTATGTCTGCAGAAAAGGCTTTGGTAGCCAGTGAGGAGGGAAGGAGCAGGCAGGACAGGAGGACACAAGTCTCAAATGAGGTGATTTGAAAAACAAGGGGTTTTTTTGTTTGTTTAGTTGGTGGATTTTTTGAAGGAAAACAAACCTACCATGCTGGGAACCTTTTGTCTTTTTCATTAGACAGCTCAGACTCTTAAGATGAGACACTTGGACATTGCTAAGGCTGTGGGACATCAGGGTCAGCCAGTCCTGCTCCTACAAACCCAACCTCTCTGGGAGGGCTGGCACACACTGTGCTGCTCTGCTGGCCCAGGAGCTTCAAAGAAAGATAAAAATCTTCAACTGGCCATGCTCGAGGTGATGTCTGACTCTTCTGGTACTCACTGGGGCCAGGATTTTCCTCTTTGTCTCAGTGCTGATCAAAATTTAGAGCTCTTAGACTTCCTGCAAAGTCCACAAGTTTTTTTGTCACTGGTTTTAGCAATAAAATAATCTTCTCAAATCTGTAGGTCTCACAAATTAACAGGTGTTGTACAAAAAGAGAATGGGGAGAGTCCAGCCATTCCCCTGTGAGGCTGAGAGAGCTCAGTTTCTGGCGGCTGGGATACAGTGTGAACTGATTTTGGGGTCAGCTCAGCCTTGCTCTTGGTCATCAGTGCAGATGGATTTTGAGATACATCTTGAAGCTTGCTGTGCAGAGACTGCTGGATGACTTTTTGTGGAGGGTGAAGACTCTAACCTTGGTTGAAGCTCATTGCACCTGATTTTTAAAGTTAATAAGAATGAAAAGTTTACAGAATACTTCTGCCCAGGCAGCTGGGGTTCTCAGCAGTAATACATGTTTATAACTCCACCATTGAATCAATAAACCATATGCTATTTCCCTCCTAAAATTTACAGTCAGATCTGTTGCTGCTTAACAGGGCAAGTAGAAAATAAAGGCATGTAGCCAAACTGGCCCTTAAATGGCTCTTTCCCTGCTCTACAGGTAGGTGACCATTTTCCTTTTTTCCTGGAGAAGCAGTCTAGTATTTCTTTCCTCTGTGCTCAGCTGCATGTAAGTCAGGAGTAAATGAAACCCAGGCCCAGCTTTAAAGCCATTTCCTCGCAGGCTAAGTGTTCTACCATGCCTCTCT